GAAGTTTTTATTCCATACTTAGTTTGGTTACCCACAGAATCTTTGCTGAAAGCAAATCACCAACAGTGATAATCTTTATTTCTGTCAAAATATCTCCATCCACTCTAAATTTACCATTTAGGAAATTTCATGTAAGATTTTAAAGCCATAGCACAAGGATTATAGCTTTACAAAGAAATATTAAAAATGACCAGATTGATTACAAGCTGAAGTCATGCAAAAAGGAAATAATATAACTTTTATATAGTAAAGGGTCTTCTCTGCCTGCAAGAACTGGCTCAGTTCTGTTCTATCTTTTTAATAAAAATAGCTGGAAAAACAGGAAGTCAGCGGAGGATTACAAGAATGGACAGCTATTGTAAGTCTCCACAGGTCATTCATATATATATATATATATATATATATGCATCCAATGATTCCACCATTCAGTATAAACATAATGAGTGAGTTTTGCATAGTAGACCATATTAATTTCATTGGCTTTGTGAAGGCATTCATCATTTTGCCCCTGTTATTGCAATGCAGTCTTTAATATAAATCATGGCTTATTTCACAACTAATCAATGCAGTACCAAACCAATGTGACTGATCACCACTTCACAGAATGTATGGACATCTGTGCTCTTCCAGGCCAGGCTCAGTCTGTACTGGTTCTGATTCATTCCCTCTCTGCTTTATCACTGGCTGGCTATAGCAACCACCACAAGTGCCATGGATGAATTCTTTGAAGCTAATTAATTTGAAGAGATAGAACAGTTAATTTGTATTGATTGGCCAAATGTCATTGCTTTGCTCTTCAGCAGCCCTTAACAGAATGTCATAAGAGTCAGTGAATGCTTATTTATGTCACTAAAGAAATTAATGCAACCGAAGAACATTGGAGAATATGCAGCCTTTCGTCTTTTGGTTGCTAAGTTAACCTCACCCTAGTATACCAGTCGATCAATATTGAGGGAGAACAATCAATGCATGCTTATTTTGTATGTCATCAGTCCCAGTGGTTTTAGCTCAGTTCCTAATGAATAGGAGCCTTTTTCTCATTTGACATCAGGTTGTATGACAACATGGCTATAATATTGTGACTTCCACTTTGCAATGGTATAAATATGATTAGAAGAAGCCCTAGCAGTCTGATACCGTTCCTATTAAAGGGCATTAAATCGCAACAGAAGTAAAACCTTGGCCTTACTGAAGACAAATGGAACTTCGCCATTTCCTTCAGACTAGGGGCCCGATTCCTTTCGCTAGGTGAACCTAGGTGCCTGTATGTGATCCTGTTCCTCTCAAATACCTGAGAGAACAGGAACACGCCTGCTTCTGTAATGTACCATCATGTTAGTTTTATCTCACAATAAAAAAGCAGTGATTAGGGGGAAGATCTATCCATTCCTTGTATTAACTGTTTTTTCTGGGACTCAAGCATAGTGGAATAAGATCACACTTAGGTGCCATAGGTGATCTAGGCAGCTATTAGGAAAAAAAAGGATCTGGCCCTAAAATTCTGTTTCCATTACAGAAATCTTATAAACACAAGTAAGTGAATGGTTATGAATAATGAACTACTAAGGATGATTCTTCCACATCAAGAAAGTAACATTAGCAGAAGGAAAGAAAAATATCATTTACTCCTAATCATGATATAGCTCCACTACTGCCTAAGTACTGCAGACTCCAGTCAATATAATGCCACTTTTGGTGAACATTAAATCAGAAAACAAAAGAATGCATGAAGCAGAAATTGTAGATGTGATTCAGTAGCAGAATCATTTCAGTTTTTTACCAGTTTGACATGGTGGATGACTAATTTTCATATAATTCACACTGGTTTCAAATCTATATAAGTGGGCTCAATTCAGTAGAGTTAGTTCCAGCACCTCAGAGGAACTGAAAGCAGGATCACACCTTCAGGAGTTTAAACAGAGAGAGGGAGAGAGAGAGAGAGAGAGAGAGAGACTAAGGGTTTTTGACAGCTATATAATCTGAATTATCATATACAGATGACAGAACAGCATTTATAACCAGGAGAGTCCTCAGGCAAGTTAAGCAATCAATCATTTGTATCATTCACCATTCAGCAAAGAGATTCAACATCTGAGTCAGTCATTACAATGTAAAGAGAATTAGTTGAGTCTCTAACAAAATGCAAATAAGGGAGCTGGAGTACAATACAATTGACTACTAAAGCTTGGCAGGAATCCAGAAGAATTATTTCTACTCAGTTGCCTTGGAGGATTTAGTTTTTTCTGGTTACACAAGAAATTTGAGAAAGTAAGGCTGAGGTAGCATGCTCATAGAAGTATCGTGTTCATTTATGTAGCAACTTCTATCCAGCTAGAATCTAGGGCACAACACGAAGTGAAGGGTACTCATCCACTTGTTCTTCCCCACCCTCCCCAAGCCTTATTCAGAAAAGCTCCAATTTATTCTAAGGAAAATTTCTCTAGCAGAGATCAGTGTCACTAAATACTGAGCAAACTCCAAGTAAGGACTATAGGATGTGCCTCTATGGGCTAGGTACAGACAGTCAAAAATCATTTCAGGCTGAATCATTTCAGTCTTTGCAGGATAGTCTGAACCATGCAGGTTAAATTGAAACAAGTGAACAGACATTTACCTTTGATTCAGGAAATGCAGGCACACACCTGCAGTAGCTCAGGCCAGAAGCTGGGCCACTAGAGCACAGCTCTCTGGCTGTGGGTTCACTTCTCCCTGCTCCCCCCTGAGGTCTCTGGGATTTGCAGTCCACAATTACAGCAGCATGACTCTGCAGGGTTGCTCATCACTTCATCTTCAAGGTGCCTCTGGGATTTGTAATCCACAGCTGCAGCCAGCAGTTAAGTTTGAGTGGGGGAAGAGGTGTTTAACCCTTCTCCCTGGCCCCAGCCCCCAGCCAGGGTTTGCCTAGGGGGTAGTCCTTCCACTGTGGATCGGGCTTGTCCCCTCCACCCCCTTGTCAGCCAACCCTCACTGTTTCAGACAGGGAGCAGAGGGATGGGGCCAACCCTGCTTTCTGAAGTAGACAGCCCAGCCCAGCCCAGCCTAGGGCTGAAAAGCATGCTGGGATGCTCAGGGACTCTGATTTAACTTGAACCAGGAAGGGGTCTGGGACAGAAGTTTCATAAACCAGTTTTACCCAAATTAGTTAAATTTGATACTACATTCAACCAGGTTTATCTTAAACCAGTTTCAGCCATTCTGAAACTGGTTTATATGCACTGATCTTCTATTCTGTTACAGGTTTAAAGCAGTTTCTGATCACTTAAACCAGTTTGTGTAACTTCTGTCCCTAGCCCAGATATGCTGCACAACACAGGATAGTGTAAATGAGCTTAGTAGCATTAGCCTAGGTGGGTGAACAGAGCTATACTGCTTCCTGTCCCTGATAACCCTGAATGAGCTAGATAAGGTATCTGCATTATGCTGTGTTGACATACCATGAGTTTTATTTTAATCTTCCTTGGATGTACACAGTCCGTTAATTCTTTCCACTAGGCCGAGATTTGTTTTCAAATGCACATTGTTCAGATCAATATAAAGTCTGTTCCTTCTATTGCAAAAAAAACCATTTTATTTTCAGGTCAGATGTGAAGTAGTTCTATGGCCAAACAAATTCTAGAACCTGATGGTATTTAGGAATAAACCTGCTGCACCACATGTGTTCCAGGTTTTGGATTAACACATTTGTTTACCTGCTAGTGGAAGTAAGAAAACTTCCCTTTTTTTCTATCGACTGATCTTACCTGAGCTTTTGTGAACGGTATTAGTTGTAGAGTGACAACTTGCTTTCCGGTATGTGCGGTGTGGGGAATTAATTAGGGCAGTCTCATTCATTACAAGTGCTATATGAGTGTCCAGGCAGGGCAGGTTGAATCATGTCAGGCAGCTGCACTGTGAAACAGCATCTGAGTGTTGCAGCCTCTTTGAAAGGGGCAACATGTACCCTTGGCTGGCATGTGCTGAAGATAGCTCTGCACACATTCACTGCCTGGAGGTCTGGCTATGCCCTCCAGCCAACACATCCCGTATGGTGTGCAAGTCAGCATTCTATCCATTCCCTTGCTCAGCTGTCCCCTTGGGCCCTGATCCAGCATTTGAGTAATCCCGTTGGCTTCAGTGGAGCTGCTCATGCGCTTAAGGTTATATGTGTGCTTCACTGTCTTCTAGATCTGAGGTTTTAACCACAGGACTGGAATCTTGTCCACATATTCTCTGTAACACTGGACTTGTGATAATATGTGCACAGCACTAAGGAGGATGTAACCCATTTTGTTTCTATCTGTGCATAGCTGACATAGTTCTGTGGACTTTCTTCTGGTTAAACGTTGCAGTGCTGTGGATGTATGTGGGGAATGGAAAATGAAAGTGACTATAAACAAAAGTGAAAGTGATCGACTTTGTATTGTCGTGATGACTGAAAATAATTCTTTATAGTCCACGTAAAGGAACAGACAATGAATAGTAGATTTTAATTAGCTGCTTTAAAATTCTGTGCATTTCAGTAATCTATAAAGAAGTTAGTAACACAGGTGAGAATTTTGTTTAATCCATGGCTTCTTTTCCCTAAACAGTATGTTAAGATTATCTCTTTTTTCCGGCCTTTTAGAGACCTGTGTGAAATACCTGTGCATATACAGAAATACTATAAAAAAGATAACAAGAGCTGACCACATATATCATAACTGGTCAGATTAATCCTCTGATGGATGAATCCTGTAGCTGAATGCATGAGAACTAAATTTAGCCTACCCCGAGTTAATACAGAGTGTGAAATACACTACTTCACAAGTATCAACTATGGACTTTCACATGTTGTTTTGGCTTTTTGTTAAACTGGGCTGAATAGCAATTGTAATTAGGGTTTGTGTACTTGTGTAATAGTGAAATTTAGCTTTCATGCAAAATTTGCATACAAGCTTAACTTCAAGAAAATGGCCTGTAAAGTCTTGTGGATCTTTGTTTTACTTGACCTTAATTGCCTTAACAGAGACTTAACTTTGTCTTGCAGAAATGTTGGAATCCAATAATATAATCACTTTCAATGGACTGTCCAATAGCTCCAGTTACCACACTTTCCTTTTGGATGAGGAACGGAGTAGACTGTATGTTGGAGCAAAGGATCACATATTTTCTTTCAACCTGGTTAACATCAAGGAATATCGAAAGGTACCTTCAGTCATCTATAATTAAAAGAAATGTGGAACAGTTCTTGTTTTGCAGACGTGTAATTTTTATTTTGAAAACCATGTGAAATGCATTTGAATTGTTTTGCCATCCTCATTCAGCTACAGGACACTTCTGTAGGGAGAAGAATAATCAGACCTTGTTAAATCACTTCTATGAGACAATCTCCTAAATGTAGCTCATGATACCCATAGTATGTGGCACTATGATGTAGGAATTTAGTTTCTAATTTTAGCAAACCTGATTGGAAGGTATGGTAATTTTATTTTAGTTAAAGCCGTGGTTTATTTTAACAACAACGTTATATAACCTTTTTCAATATAATAAAAATATTGTAAAATGTTATTCCTTGAGTTCAGATATATACCATAGAAACAGAACAGTTTTACCTGCTTAAGCAGTTCAAGTTTAAAAACAAGAAAAGTTTTGGTGCTAATAGCTATCCATTTTTCCTTTCTGTGTATTTTTATGCTAGCCTATGTCTGCCATATTCACACAAATAATTCTTTTTTCTGTCTTATACCGAGGGAGAGCGAATTGAGAAGCAGCACAGTAGCAGTAGCACCAGTAAATGGGTTTCATTTCATGTTAGGCTAGCTGTTTCTTAAACAGTCCATAGTTTCATGCTTACTGCTAAATAAAACAAAGGTGACTATTATGACAGCTTTCACAGAAAGGTCAGGGTACCCAACAGGTTTTTGGGTTTTTTTTTTTTTTGCAGTAAGACCACTTCAATGTTTGCGAGTTAGAGTGGTGATTTCTCTTCCCTACCACTGAGTGCTTTAAACCAGTGTTTCTGCTACTCATAAACCATAATAAATTAGATACTAATAAAAGAGTGACAGATGGGTAAAAGCTCTTTGTACATGATGGAAAGCATTACTTTCAGTAGAAGTTGTTGACTTAAATTAGAAGCTGATGTACATTTCAACTGTGCTATTATTTGAGTCTAGTAATTCATTTTATCCTTTCATTTGTTCTAATGAGCTTTGCCAAACAAGAAGGTAAACGCAGATATTAAGGTTCGCTTTTCATATACTTAAGCATTTAAAATCTCAGAATTTTTTATGGTGCATTTTAGAATCTAGAGATTAAGCTTTTATGAAAGATATATTGCTTCAGTGTCAGTCGATTTTTTTTTCTTGCTATGCCTGACCTTTTGCCCATTTGACTATTAGCTTCCTAAGATGATAGCAATAAATACCTTGTGTTCTTTATTCTGAAGGAAGACAGGCTATTCATTTGTATTCTCTAAGGAAAAGGATAAAAGGAAAACTGGGTATTTTCTTTTCTGTTCTCTTTAGAGCAGCTATAAAGGAAACTGCCTATTTATTTGTATCCTCTGAGGGATTCATAGTTTTAATGCACAAAACATCTGGAATAATTAACGAGAGGGTGGTGTTTCCACCATAGAAAACTCTTCTCCAAGATTGGAGGATTGTACTTTAAGTTCTTTAGTCTCCAAACACTTTTAGAACATTGTCTGAAATATAAACATTAGTATATTGAAGGAAGATAATTGTTTCTTTTGGCTTAGGCCTAAGATTCAAAATGGCATTTGAACATTCCTACAAATTTGTAAGTTTTTTGGATCAGCCCATTATAAAGATAGAAATCACTGAAGAAGTTTACAACCAGATCAAAATCTTCCCAAGGGTATATCTGCTTTTGGGTCTGAATCTTTGATTCAGATTAACTTGTTATCATTATTACGCCATCAGTTTTGAAGCATTTGGATGGAAATCAATGAAGATTTTTATCTAAAAATACAAATAAAGCAAGACCTCATGGGGAAAAAAACCCCAAATTCACTCTGTCTTTACAGTGGTTCAACTTAATTAATTTTTAAATAAAGTTAGCAAACAGAGAAGTGATCCATGCATTTTATAGTTAAGGATAATTGGTTCATATAATTAAGGAGCTTATTTCCAAAATTTGAACTGAACCTGAGATGAACTGTTGGAAGATCTGAAAAGTTTGAATATTTTTATTCAACCTAGTAGGTTTCAATTTTCACACATCTCTGCACTTCTTAAAGCAGGAAGAGAAGCAGAAAGTAGCCGCTGTTCTCATGAAAATTTTAGCCCTATTTTATAGACTCAAGAGGTTTTCTGCTTGAACTATATATTACATTATAAAACATTTCTGAACTTCAGAGATTGAGCCAAAGTTGAACTCAAAACATCATTAACAATAGCCTCTTAATTCTCATTTGTCATCTGTACTTGTCCTATTTACAAATGCTTTTCCCACTACTTTATAGAAAAAATGCATTGAATGCCAAAGTTATAATCCATTCTCATGGCCATTCATACTGCATTATCTGAGGCTCCCAAATGAATAGCTTGGCATTATGTGAAGATCATGTTTTATTCTATATGTAATTCCTAAAAGCTTTTCAACAGACATGAATAATTGACTAAGAGGGTCTCTGGGTTTTCTTTCTATGAGGTGAGGTACATTTTTTGCTAGAACTATAACTAAAGCAGGCTTAGTCTGTATCATTAGAGTAGTCATATATATATTCACGAAGACACTGATCCAACTTAGCATCAATATTTGTTCTGGGTGGTGTGATAGTATCAGCCTTGTATAGTGTTTTTATCTATTTAATTGAAGAAGAGTAAACAAAAGTGAAATAGTTAATATATTGCATAGCCACAAGCCTCATTTCTGTTACAAAACCTTTGAAACCAGATTTAATTGCACACTGTAAGTAATCTATCATGTTCGAGGATGTCAGGTAGATCCAAATTTGGGGATCTGAGTCGCTGTTGAATTACATTAAATTTTAAACAGTTGCTTTACTTTCATTAATATCAGTGTAGTAGCACCCATATAGACCTTTTACCAATCTATTTCTCAAACTCAACAGCCAATATATACAAGGTATACCTGTATTTATAACTTTCTTTAGCATGATTTCTAATTATTCTAAATGCCTTGGGTAAAGGAAAGAAAAAATATAGGAAAGGTAGGCACTGGTTATAGGGACTGAACAGCACTTGATATACAATTTGTGATTACTGAACCATGAAATGGCATAAAGTGATTTTTATTCTGTGTGTTTAGATTGTTTGGTCGGTATCTCATACCCGAAGGGACGAGTGCAAGTGGGCTGGAAAAGATATTCTCGTAAGTACAAATCTTTCTACTGGTATGTTTTATTCTTTTCAAAAACATTTTAATATTTCATGAACCATCCCTGTGTTAATTTTTAAAGCCTTTTTTGCCCAGGATTACTGTTCTAACCATAACTTAAGTGTTGGGTTGTACAGGCCTTCGTTGTTCAAGTATTTCTGTGTATAAATATACAAGAAGTTTAAAAGTATAGGATGAAAATTATACAAAGGAAAAGGAAATTATTTATTTACCAGAAAAAGCATTAGATTAAGAACTGGTTACATCACTTAGGTTGTGATCCTACAAAACGTTCTGTATAGACCCTTGTGTCTGCTTGGCATCTTATTAAAATCAGTGGGTCTCCATACAAAGCCCTAGGGTTCTGTCTCTATGGAGTTCTTTGTAGAATTGAGACCAAAGTGGTTTTAATTTTCTGCAACGGTTGTGGTGCCTCAGGAAAAAAAGGCTATATTATTTGTACTATACTGTACCTTACCTCTCTCATTCCCGCATCTCCGTGCGTGCGTGCGTGCGTGCGTGCGTGCGTGCGTGCGTGCGTGCGTGCGTGCGTGTGTGTGCGTGTGTGTGTGTATATGAGAGGGGGAGAGATCTAGCCAGAACTCCTTCAGTGTTAGTCAGTCTACATTAATAGTTTTGTCCTGTCTTCCTTTAAAAGAACAGAGGGAGATTGGAGATATATGCATGCAATGACCCAAGTGGATACAGGAACAATGGAGCCAAATGGGATATCACGGTGGTTGTAAGGATATAACTGAAAGTGGAATTTGGCCCCATGTGTATATATTATTGGCCTGGATTTCAGAGACGATTCACTAAAATATTCATGATCCCAACCTCATGTCTCTGGAGATTTGTGTTCCAGTACTGTCTTAGGTCATAACTGAAAGTAGGTTTGCTGGTCTTAACTTAGTCCCTGGAGAGAACTGACCTACATCAAAAACGCATTTTGGAACAGGAGTAGTTTAGGTCAGGACTGAAGGTGTAGGACAATGTGTGTATTTGGAGAGGAAACTCAGGATTGTCAGGTATCCGGTTAGGTCTGAACTCTCTCTAACTAACACCAGCCCTTTGATTTTCAAATGACACAAATATCTCTTACTCACTCCACCCATGTAGTCTCGAACACTTCCCTGAGAAATATCTAAGCTTTGGCTGAGAAACTCAAACCTGCTAGGTCACAGAAACAATATTAGAGTTAAATATCTGGGCAACATAAGGATCAAACTTATACTGCAGCTGCTCCACTGCACCTGGCCTATTAGGCTAGGGACAGAAATTAAAGCTAAACCGGTATAACTGATTGGAACATGGTTCAAATCTGTAATATAAGAAGTTCAGTGCACATAAACCACTTCCAAAATGGCCAAAACCAGTTTAAGATAAACCTGGATGGATGTAGTATCAGACTTAACTGATTCAGGTTAAATTGGTTTATTGAACTTTCCCAGATCCCCTCCAGATTCAAGTTAACTCACAGTCCCCCAGTATCCCAGCATGCTTTACACCTGCCCCACAAGCCCCACCTTGCAGAGTGGGTGGGCTATCTTTGGCTAAAACTGTCTGCTCTAGCTGAGCAAGGAGGCATGCTCTAGCATTTCCTGACTTCTGGCCTGGGCCACTGCAGGCAGCTGGCTGCACTTGCTGAATCAAAAGTGATTGTTCACTTGCTTATTGG